AAAACTAGATTTTTCTTCTATTCATCTGCAGATTTGTTGTATTCCCACCTGAGGACTTCAGCAGATTGTCTATGCCCAACAGGGACTATATCTTTTATATAGCTGCATACAAAGAGTCCCCTACATTCATGATATCTGACCTAAATACACTTGTCTGTTTGGGAAGCCATTTTCACTTTTGTCAGACTCCATAAAACAATTCATGGAAAATTGGTTATATACACTAAATAACGTTTCTGTGTAACACAAATATTTGTAGAAATCCCAGAGAAAAATAGAATTGTCAGCCCATTGTTAGCTACACTGACAGGCTGCTTTGCAATATAACCAATAGAATCAAGAGTTTTTATATAACAGTGCATTAGTCCTGTTACCAAAATCTATAAAATATCTTATTCTTCTAAATTTAAAGGAGGACTATCAGAATTACACAAGTAATATTTGAATAAATAGTTCTGACAAGAGTTTCTATGAGGAATAAATGAATAAATCTGAAGAAAAACAGAAATAGTAATGATTGTAAAAATGACAAGGAAGTCATTATTTTATATTAACCCACAAATTAGATATGATACGTATAAATACATGCTAAACATTTAATTGAAATTAAGCACACTTGGGGGAGATAACACACTCACCAGGGTATAACTCTAGAGACAGGCAGGAAAATACTCAGAGTGGTGATTGGTAAGGGGAGTCACAGAGTCCACCATAGGAAGATAGAATACTACTACTGTATTTGGATGCTTCTAAAAAGTGACACTTAAATCCCTATTGAAATAATCACTTCATTTTGGATATCGATCAATGAGAATTTGAACTTGCACTACACCAAACCTGAACACAGGGAACTAATTTTCAGAGAAGGAAGGTGTTAGGAAAGCAGTTATGGGGGTAAGTGATGAAGTGTCCAAAGCATTCTCAAAGCCTTTGAATGACCAGCATGGTAAGATATCATTAAAGATGCACTAGTGGCTCTTATAGCTTATCAGTAAATAGTAACTACCTATTGGGATACAAGGTTTGCCTAACAAGAGAAAATCATTACTTAAAATGTAAAGCAGCAAAGGTCATGTGGCTAGTGAGCCTATAGGACACAGAAAACATTACCACCCCTTTCATTAAACATTATAAGCTTTAAATACATTATAAAATAAATCCTTATACTCACACAATATAGTTGACCCAGGAATACTAATGATATTAATCAGGTTGTGCTTGTATAAACGTGGTGTGTGTGTGTGTGTGTGTGTGTGTGTGTGTGTGTGTGTGCCCATTTACATATATACATGTAACAACAATGTAAAAAGGGATCACGGGTTTGAACAAGAAGAAGGAGGCATGAATAGGAGGTTTTGCAAAACAATTAATGAGAATTTTTTAAAGTACATAAAATTTTAAACTAGGCTTAGACATACTTCCCTGCTACTTGTCTCTTTTAGAAAGACATAAAGGAAGGAGCATTCACCCAGAACAGGGTATCCATAAAATTAAAATGGATGCACTAATCTGCTGCTTATTGAGCCAAAGAGTTTTGGGGTTTACAGATGGAATTCAGACACATGAATCATCAAAAAATCAAACAGAGCAATAGTGATTACTTGGGAATGCTGCAAGCAGCAATACTGCAAAATTTATGGAAGACAGAACTTAAAGATGATAACTAAATGATGATTGTTACACATTTCTAAGGTTTGAAATGTTTATTCATGGCAACAAAACCAAAAATAATATTTATGTCTAATTACAAAATTGACTTCAAAAATGTATATCTTGTCACATATGTCTTTGATAACTATTTTATGTTTTACCAATTATGGAAACTGGATCATATAAAGAACTGTCCTTTTGGAAACTTACGCAATAAAACAATAAGGAGAACGAGGTTCTGAGTCTCTGCATAGACTGTATTTAAAGTTTAAACTTCATTTTATTACAAAACAGAGCTTCAAATCAAAAGTTACAAAATTTGAGGCCTGAAAACTGTAGCAAGAATAAATTCTTAAATCTAATAATTATGTGAATTACTAATTTACTGAAACATTTTAAAAAAATAAAATGTAAAGAATAAATTTCCAGACAATTTCTTATTCATAAAATTATTTAATGTGCTTAGAACTATATTTGTTAACTAGTTAAAGTCAAATGTAATTCATTTAAAGAAAAAAATCTTGGAGGAGAAATCTAGTTTATAACCCCCATTATATACTCTTCTGTATATGGTGCTAAAGTTAAGCAATGGACAGGAACTCAAAATAAGTCTAAAGTAAAATTAAAGTTTATTTAATGGAAACAAAATTTCAAAATGTTTTTAAATTATACAAATATCTTTGCAAATAAGACATCTCAAAACTCAACTAGTACCCTTTTTCTTTGATGGTACATAGAATCACCAGTGTAAACAGTTTGTTAGCCTCATTATAGGGTAAGGACAAATAGGGAATTAAGGCTTGCTGGTCATCTGCTTCCCTTGTCTCCAAAGTCTGAACTTAAGTGAAAACTATTGGTAGAAAGTATTCCCACAACACTGAACAGCTCCAGCTATGTAGGTCAAAGCAGGAAGTCCTCCCTCTTATCTATAGAAGATGAATGATTCCTCAAGTCTCACACCAGAAAGTGATTAATTCTCTTGCCAAATGGATCATAGGGTTTACAGTCACATCCTAAATGTCAAAACTACAGAGAGACAAATAGTAATTATTTAGCCCTCATTATCTCCCAAACTGACATGTAAGAAACTGTGAACAGGGACACTTGTATCTAAGCCTACAACACAGCTGGTATTGGACATGCATGGTATATCACATGACCATGTCTCTTTCTGTGCTTACAATTCTTCCCATTTGCAAAAGTTAATACCATTTTCCATAGCATAATCATCCATGTTCCCTGATTAAGGGAGACTGACAGAGACTTGGACATTAAAAAGGGAACACCCATGGAGGAATTTACCCTCCCTGGGGAACAGAGAGGGTATGAGGGAGGGTGCTGGTGGGGGGTTAGGGGGAGGGGAAGGAGAGGGAGAAGGGATTGCCATGTGAAGTATCTTTGTTTCTAATTTGAACTAACTTGGCCTGAACACATGGGGAAGGGCCTAGGCCTGGCCCAGGATGATGTGGTAGACTTTGGGGAGCCCCTTTTGAGGGCCTTACCCTGCCTGGGGAGTGGAGGGGGGATGGCTAGGGGCAGGTGGGATGCTGGGGTGAGGGGAGGGAGAGGGAGAAGGGATTTACATGTGAAACAAGCTTGTTCCTATTTTGAACTAATAAAAGAATAAAAAAATCAAAAAAAATAATCTCTTGAAGAAAATGTATCACAGCTTTGGGTAGAGTCATTTTGAACTTTGCTAGGCAATTCTGACAGCCTTCTTCATTGGGTGCTATAACAGAATCGAGGAAAGTGAGAAAAGAAAGACAGGAAAAATATAATTTACTCTGGTCTCTGAGAGTCATTGATGACAGACAAAACAACCTACTGCAGTTTTCAGACTGAACATTTATCTGTCTCCATGGGCTTTTATCCTGGCTATATTGCATTTCTTTCTGGGCCTTTTGATTATGACTGTGGGCTGCCAATTTTAGCATGTTGCTGAATCTTCAATTTCCCTATAACAGTTTCTTCAAACACTGTGATTATATTTATGAGTTATATCACAGTGCTGAACCATTATTTCTATTACAGATTTCTTAAAAATATTTAGATTAAATAAAGACATGTGGTTTACAGCCCTGAACATACAACATTCCAAATAAGCATGGAGAGTGTTACAATGTCATAATTGTAAAGAAATAATTTCTGAGATATTTTAGAAAATCAATTATATTCCAATGGTGATGGAAAACTCAGAGCATATAGTGCATTCTGGATACAATACAGACCCACATATGAACTCACAGAGACACTAGCTGGAAGCACAGAACTGTCCATGGCCCAACGAGAAATCATCCCAGCACTGAGAAGAGGAAGAGAAAATGATCACCTATCCCTAAACAATAAGCTATAACCAATTGAAACCACTTATAAAGGGAAAAATGAGATTTCTCCTATACTTTCACTGGGTAACCAAACTAGACTAATGAAGCCCCATGTCCAGAAATTGATTGACAACACAAAATGAACTTCATACAATATTGATTAAAAACTAGACACTTTTCTCATATCTTATGCTAAAGCACGAAGGCTGTAAAGTCACATATCTGACAAGCTGGTGTGTGAAACACCTCTGTAATTGGGTCTCTTGGGTGGAACCTCACTAGTGTTGTAGCACTTCATAAATTTCATGAGATCTAACTGTGACCTAATAGGGATCTTATAACTGCATACTCCATATCCCTTTTAAGAAAGTAATGGACATCTGTGTATTATATGTGTTCTTTGAACCTTAATGCTAGTCTCTTTTGTGTCATTTACCTTCATCATGATGGTGACAGTATGTTTCTGTGGTATTTTGTCTCTTCAGATGTAAATATACAAAGTCTTCATGATATATGATATATTATCCATACAAATGAAAAATTGTGATGAACACAATTATATGATTATTATAAAACTCTAGTAAAATGACAACAAAGCAACCACTTTCATTTCTGCTATTGTAAATCATGTCTGGATGACCTTGGAGGCAAGATGCGTCTTATAAATTCAAAATACAGAAAATAGAAGACACTATTTCTGTGTGTTGGTTAGGAACTAAGGATATCCACCCTTGTCATCTCCATTTCACATTGGCCTGGCAGGTTTCTTCAAAGCAGATGGGGGAAAATAGATACTACAGATTTTTTATTCTTAGATGTCTGGTATTCAAGACAAACAAGATCTTTACTATATTTTAGAAGAGCATAGGCTGGTGTAAAATGAAGCAGTCAATAATCAAATAATGTACTTAAGCTGAATAATTCAGCAAATTCCAGAATATAACAAAATTTACAGTTCAATCTTATTATGTACATGAGTAATCAACTATCCAAAATGAAATGGAGAAGAAGGTGGTTTTAAAATACCTGCTTAGGGAAGTGGTCTCCTCCAGTGTGTGCTTCTCAGGATGCAGAGAGCAACCATGGCTTTATTATTTGAGTTGCAGAGTCACTGAGCAGCAGAGACAGACACTGCATCAGAAATAAATGACATAAATTAACGGATATCATAGGGAGAAATAATTGTGTGTGCTTAAAGCTATAAAAATGTACTTTAGACTATTAATAACATGAATTTACATTTTTAAGTTTCACAATTCATTGACTTTAAGAAGCCAATAATTTCCAAAACTATTCAGAGACCGAAAGTATCCACTTCACAGTGAAGATTATATTAATATTTTCTCTATGGTGAAACACAATTAAACTTTATAACGAACTTCCATAAAATAGCCAACATTGACACAACATTCAGATAGAGAATTAAAAATGGAAAATTGGAACTTTCACTACTATTTCAAAACTTAGCACAAAGCAGTTGTCATGAAGTCATTTGTATATGATATTAGATTAGTGAAATGAAAGCATGTGCTTTAAAATGAATAGTTAAATATATGTGTGCATATGATCATGGGAGTGGTGGGATTGGTTATATGTACTCAGGAGAATGGAGTCAAGGTCAACAACAGATCTTATTATCATTGAAACTAAGAATATCATTGATCCTAGAGCTCAGCATCCTTTTATGCTGGAAAACCAATGCTGAGATAACACTGATGTTGTGTGTGTTTGTGTGTGCGTGTGTGTGTGTGTGTGTGTGTGTGTGTGTTTGTATGTGTGTTTGTGTGTGTGTGGTTTCTGGGGGTCTGTAAAGCATAAATGAATGTCAAGTCTTTGTATAATTGCAGAAGAAAAGTAATTTTTAGAAACTTTAGAAAAATGAATACAATATGAAATTGAATTCCACACTCAAAAAAGCAGTCATTTAAAATTGCTAATATATGAAAACATATATAAATGTGAAAACTTTGCAAAGACATCAATACATATGAATTAGTAATTGTACCCTTAATGAAAATAATAATAAGATGTTGAAAGAAATGACAGAAAGAAAAGATATATTGTAATTAACAAAAAATGGTGAAACATGTATGATGGCACAAATACATGAATTTTCAGGAACAATGTTTGCCACTGAGGTAAGAATACCAGAACAAGAAGAGGCCGGCTACATAAAAGTCCTTGAGCTACAGTATATCATGACCTATATTTTCAACCCTTTCCTCTGTTAGCTCCATTTCCCAGTAAAATATGCCTTATAGATCATCAATCCTTTTTTTTCTTTTAAGTGTTTTTATTTTAATTAGAAAGAAAATTATTTCACATGTCAATCCCAGTCCCTTTCCCTCCTGTCCTCCTTGGCTCCCCCAACTAATACCCTATCTATCCCAAACCCTTTCTGCTCCCAAGGGAAGGTGAGGCCTCCCATAGGAGTCTTCAAAGTCTGTCTTATTCTTTGGATGAATATGACCCAAATTCATAAAATGCATGAAAACAATATATTAATAAGAAAGATTAATCCCCTTGTATTAAGGCTGGGCAAGGCAACCCAGTATGAGGAATACGTTCCTGGAAGCCAAGCAAAGACTTAGAGTCATGCCTTCCTTCCAAAACCAGGAGTCACATAAGTAGATCAAACTACACAACTGTCACACATATGTAGAGGGCCTAGGTCAGTCACATGCAGGTTCACTAGCTGTCTGTCCAGAGTCTGTATGTTCCTATGAGCCCAGGTAAGTTGATTCTGTGAGTTACCTTGTGATGACCTCTCCAGATGTGTACAATCTTTCCTCCCTCTCTTCAACAGGATTCCCCAAGCCTTGCCCAGCATTAATGCAAGCAGAGGTTCTTAGACTTCCTGCTATTTGATATGCCATGCTTTGTTGATACCCAATGGAGGCCTATCTCTTTCTGAACAGAAACAGAGGAGTGGATTGGGAGGGAGGGGGGAATTAGAGGAGAGAAGGAAGCAAAACTATGTTTGGGATGTAAAATAAATGAACAAAATTAATTAGCAATAAAAATTACATATTAATAATAAAATAACACTTGTAGGTGAAGCATGACAGGTTATCTGGATTGTGAATTTGATTTTGTTACTGGACACCCAGGAGAGAAGGGGAACACACTCTGAGTGTATATGTGTGGATGTATACAGACAAGAGGGTCCTCTAATAAGTTGTTTCTTCTATAGATGAATTAAAATTTGAGTAGCAGCAAACTATGGAAAGTGGAATTTCATTACAGAAGTGAGTTTTCAAAGGCAAACCTGTGGAGGGTACATCTTGGATCTGATCCATTCTGGTAACTCTCCTCTGCTTCCTGGTTGTCATGTAGTGAACTCCTGTGCTTTATAATGTCCTGCAGTCATGGGACACATCTTCAATCCAGAAACAATGCAGCAAGCCAGCTGTTCATGGTACCCTCTGCGGTCACAAGCTAAGAGAAGTGTTCCTTTAAATCACTGGTCACAGTAATGAAACGTCTCACTAAGACACTGTGAGTTTGTGAATAGGGATGCATTGCAACAAAACTACATTTGTAAAAATATGCTGAGGAGGATTTGACCCTCAGCAGCTGGAAACTTTATGAATATAAGAGGTCATTTTTCTTTTACAACTCTCTGTGAACTTACTATATAACACTTTTTAAATAATGCAAAAAAGTAAAAAAATCCAAGACTTACAGAAGAAATACTGGCCTTCCATAAATGTGAGTACACATGGTGGAAAAATGTGTTCCATGTATGGCATGACTATTTCATGCTTCATAACTTACAGCAATGAAATTAATCAAACATATTCACTCTTTTAGTATTGAACTCAAAAACATAAGTATCATGCTAATTATTAAAAAAGGGAAGATTAATCAGAGAAGAAAAAAAAGGACTCAGAAATTTAGATCAACTGTAGAACTGTAATTTCATGAATTTAAATGGAAGAAAATACCTAGAGTCCTAAACATTCAGTACTTTCCCAAAAGATAAAAAGGAACAGATTCAAGTGTATGCCACCTTGCAGAACATACACTGGATATTGTCCTCAGTGCAATTAATGGAGAAAATGAACAGGTGGTGTTTGTATGCTTAAAAAAACATAAACTACATCTACATGACATAATATCCTGTGACATCTAAAGAAATAATAAGACATACACATAATGTAAGGAATTTAAATTATGGCCAGCACACATGCTGCTAACACATAAAATATAAATATATAATGGAGTTTTACATACAAGAAAACAATAATGAATACCAACAGGTAGGTGTGGTGACTCTATCTTCAGTGAGAACTTCTCAGCATTTGGGAGAACCATATATTTTCCATGCCTGAGTCTGAGATTATCATGAGCAGGCTTGTGAGACGCAACATACGGATCATGAGATAATACAGAAATTTTTAGGGATAAATAGAGAAAATATAAATCAATACAACTCTCCATATATGTCATTCTTTACTTGTAATGTTAGAAATTCTTTTAAAGTATTTACAGAACCACAAGAAATCCTGTATTGATAACATTGTCCTGAAAATAAGAATAAGATAGGAGCATTCATTTCACTATCTATATTTTAAAATTGAACTATGAAGTATTAATAAACATAATACTTTCTAAGATGTGCAGCAAAATATTTTATTACAAAGAAGATAAATTTCCTCTATGAACCCTCTGTTGAATGGGCTTCCTCTGTGTGTTTCCACGGGCTCCTATTATGACACATGATGCTAAAGAAATAAAATTTTCCAGAGGGTCCAGGAAGTAGAAGTAGAATAACAAGAGGCTTGGTAGCAAATAAATATCTGAATAATATACTTCTGAAAATTTGAGGTACATGGATGCCAACTCGAGTTTCATGTGGAGTTTAGACAAGTAAATGTCTGTAGGAATGCTCAAAAGACTAAAAATTTTCTGTCATATGAGGTAAAGCAAAGAAAACTGGGGAAAATATAACTAATCCAGGAAATTTGAAAAAACTTATTTAACAAGGGAACCACACACAAAAGTGGTTAATGGTCAGCCTTGAAAACATAAAATTAAAATTACACAGACATAGCAGTGTGTACTTCTCTAAATATGAACAGAAATATACTTTAATATGTGTAACATCCACTTACTGTTTTAAATGGTGATCAAATTTGAGCGGAGTAAGGAGGAATGAATAAGAGGATTTATAGGAAGACAAAATAGACATAAAATTATGTAATCATATTATAATCTCAAAACGTATAAATATTTAAATACTAAAATATAAATTGTACCTTGACATGCTTTTCTGCTATTTATCTTTTCCTAGACAAACAGGAAAACATGCCCCTCCAGGACAGGGCATCCATAAGATTCAAAGGAAATTGCTCTAAATTTCTGCTTGGTGGACCAGTTAGCCTATTGGTGTTAAAGATGGAATTGAAGCACACACATAACCAAAAATATCAACCCAGTAATGGGAATGACTTTTGACAGATACACAACTATAAGTTCCCTGCTCTGACTGCCAGCAGCTCCAATGAATAGAAACCACTCCCAATTAATGCACATATATGAATCACTTTTGAAAAATATTTTCAAACTTGGAAATGAATAAGCTTCTTTAATAGTGTAAGTGAAGGCAGGGACCCTAGTCCAGGTACTGCCCTACCCCAAATGGAAATGCTTGAATTCACAGAAAATAGATTCACAACAGAGAAAATACCCTAAGCTGGGTTAGGCAAGGAGAGTTCATAGGGACAGAATGACCACATAAAACATTTGTTTATCCAATTATTATTAAATCACCACATATTGAGAATTAGGCAAGGAAATATGAAGAGTATGTGATTCTTGGTGTAATTTGATGTCTGAATAGAGAAATCCATTAAACTTATAGGTGAGGTGACTGGTATTAATAGAGTCATCAGAGAGTCTACTTGTTGGCCTTGTGGCTGTAGTAGCAGCAGCTGCCTCTCTGTCAAGCATACCTTGCATCTTGAAAGCCCAGGCTGTGCAAATCATCCTCTTCCCTGCATACCTTTTTCACAGAAGACAGGGACAAAGATATTAATCTGGAAGCAGAGTTGCCCACTCCAAAAATAGGCTAAATTGTGTTCACCTATCTTGATTTTTTATAGATGTTCTCTGTGAAGTTCTAATGAGGCTTGAAAGCATCCCAGAAGCATTTTACCTGATAGGGAGGACATCTGTTTAAATGTTTGTCTTATTGATTGATAAATAAAGCACTGTTGGTGAATAGGGAAGCAAGTTAGGTACAACTAGAAGAGAAGGAGCATTCTGGGAAGTGTAGTAAAGAGGGTTGCCATGTGATCCTGGGAAAGAGAGGATGTGTTCTGTGGCTTCCTCGTTAAGATAAGTCTTTATAAAAAATACAGATTAATGGTTATGGTTGATAATTAAGACAGAACTATCAAATCAGAAATCCTAGTCATTGACCAACAACATTCCAACTAATATAAGACTTTGCATGTTATGTAGGGGCCCTAACATGGTGCCAGAACTCAGGCAGCTGACAGAAATAGTTATTGTTACAAATAGCTCCCATGTGGTTTTACGAACTTCCATATAAAAACTTCACAAAAGCTTCAAATGGGATTTTTAGCAGCAAAAGAACAGAGAGAAGCACGATTTCTTGGTAGCAGCATTTTCTCAGGTGAGACAAGCAGAGACTTGAGCAGCTCCCATAAGGGAGGTTTCTTGACTCAGCATAAGTGGTAAAAACTACAGGGCTCTTTTAAGAGGCCCTGCTAACAATTGAATGGTGTGTATGAGAAGCTGGCAATGGCAATCATTTCTTCAAGCCATAAGCATTCTCCTTGATGGCAGCATAGACCAAGGCAGAGCACAGCTCTCAGTGCTGGTGGTAAATACAACACCTCCATCTTGGAATGACAGCAGCTAAAACAGCCATGGCTTTAGTTTTAGCAATGCTGTTTAGGAGATAAAAGACTTGTGGTGAGAAAAATATAAATATATACAATAAAGACAGATTCTGAGGGAAAAAGTAAAATGTCTAAAGGCTTACAATCTGTTTAAAAATATACATAGACTTATGAGGGAAAAGAAACAGGATGAAGTAATTGAAAGAAAGAAAGAGTAGCCGGGTGGTGGTAGAGCATGCCTTTATTCCTAGCATTCTTTTGAGAGGCAGAGGCAAACATATGTCCATGACTACAAGGCCAGCCAGCTGTATAGGGTGAGATCAAGGGCAACCAAAGTTACACAGAAAAACCCTGTCTCATAAAAGGAAAAAAATAAAAGCAAAAGAAATAGAGTTATAAAAATAAAGGATGCAGAGGTCATGAGGGAGCAGAAACTTTTTGTCAGGTGTAGATTAGAAGAAAGGATATGTGATAGGCAGGGTTTTAGTTGGAGAGATTATAGGGGAGGAAGGGAGGGAGAAGGGAACTGGGATTGTCATGTAATTCAATCTTGTTTCTAATTCAAATAAAAAAACAATAAATAAATAAATAAATAAATAAGCCACATAAAGATGGAAAATACACAGAGAGTCGGGATACTATAGGCTATATTGTTGTCTTTAAGTTGTTTGATTGCAGAGGAAAGAGCTACAACTGCTAAAATATCTCGATTATAGGGGCTTCTAAATTAACCCAGCTTATATATTTTTAAAATGCTTTGACTTCTAAATTTAAATATTAGGACAGTTTACTTGGGAAAACAGTTTATGATTATGTTTCCACAGGAAATGTAAAGCTATGAATTCCTTCCAGACTAATATTGTTTGAAGAAGCAAGTCCCATGTGATCCAACCTCTGAAACAGCTAAGACAAAACAGACTTACAGAATACAAAAACTGGACATGGCCAGGTATCTGTGTTTTATCATAATCCCCATGGTATTGACATTGTCCCCAACCACTAGGAAGCAGTTTGGAATGAAAAATGTCCAAATTCCCAAATATTGTTTATAAATGTTTGTTTTCATTTAATTGGGTTGGTTATAAATGGTAATGATCACAGTCAATCTCTTTTTAAAGGAAAAAAAGGGGGAATAGGATATAGAAATGAATTCTTTACATTGGTATGGATTTTCATTTATTAATAAAAATTTAAGGTTAATTTTGTTGTATGCAAATCTATTCTCTTATTTGGCATTGTGTTTATACATATATTTTAAAATGTAATACATAATTAAATACAGATTGTATATAATCAGTTATAATAGTCAAAATTATAGTTAGGTTAGCTAGGATTTCTAGATATACAGAGATGAATTTGAGATGGATAGATATTCTTCAAACCTTCCAAAGACTTTCGAATATATATTGCATTTAAATGGTTTAGGGTTTTTCATGACAATCAGACACAACTGCTCCTGGCACATCAATTAAGTCAGAAAGGAGGATGGGCATTGAAGAAACTCATTATGGAGTTTGCCTTCAACATGGCAAGATTACCCATTTGGCCATGAAAGTGCTCTTGCCTGGTCTGTTTGATAAACTGGACATGCAGGATCCACCTGAAAGTGTCTGCTGAATTTGCAAAAAAAGGCAGTCATGAAGGGTTCCTGTTTCATGGAGAAGTTTGCTAGATACACTCTGGACTATAGACTGAAGATAGATGCACCATCGTTACACAGGATCTTCAGGTGACTGTCCAGGCAGTAAGATGTCTCTGTCAGTTCTAGAGTTTATATATTATCCTTCTGTAGTCTTTGAAGGATTTGAAGACAGATATTTATGGTTATAGTTGTCTTTAATTATTATAAGCTATAACACTTGAGACTCACAAAGATAGGATAGATGATAGAATATTTCTTTAAAATCTTGCTAAATGTTAATGAACTAAATATTGTAACTATATTTCTTACTTGATAAATATTTTGTTACATATTTTACTATGTTAATGTTAAAACCCTTCTTTTTATTTAGACAGAAAAGAAGAGATGATGGGGAAGGTCCTTCTATGTATATGTTTGTTTTGATAGTTGATAAATAAACACTGTTGGTCAGTAGGGAAGCAAATTCGGCAGTACTAAGAAAGAACAAGCATTATGGGTAATGTAGTAAAGAGGGTTGCCATATGAAACCGGGGAAGACAGGATGCATGCTGCTGGTGCCCGTGATAAGTCTTTATAAAATATATAGATTAATGGCTATGGTTGATACCTACAACAGAGCTAGCAAATAAGAAAGGGTAGTCATTGTCCAGGAACACTATAACTAATATAAGACTCTGTGTGTTATTTGGGGGCCCTAACATGGCGGCAGAACTCAGGTGGCTGACAGAAAGAGTTATTGTTACACTTTACCAGAGAATAATGTTTGTTTCAGTATTTGTCCATAGGAGATATGTTTCAAAGAAAATCATAGCAGCATAAGATGGACCTATTGCTTTGCTTATATGTTCAATCATTTTCTAAGATACAATGTCACTTTATGTACATTGGTTACATGATGGGCTATGTCACTAAAATTGAAAAGGGCTCTTATTCTTTTAAAGATCTTGCTGAACATAATGCTCAACAAAGCCGAGAAATGTCAATGACAGTCTCAAACACTTGCTGTGAACAACGCACTATCAACCCAATAAAATTGGCATCATATATGACTATTGCTATTCTTAGTTTTCACAGAAGTGCTTTCTCCACATCTACTGTACTTTAGCTTCTGAGTTCCCAATGGAATACACTGTTGATGGACAGGTAGCCCTAATGGCTAGGTTAGCCGGCCCATCAGAGAATGATGTGCATTGTACTACAATAGTTTATGCATTCTGTGTATCAAGAGCGAATAATAGAAATATTTCTCATTTTCTAGCCTTCCAATTTACTAAGAATGATCTTGTTTGCCCCCTTGTGGCACAGATTCACAAGTAATTCTATGAAAGAGTCTCATTATGCTTTTTATAAATTTGTTCATAACAAAATGTTTTCTATGTTAACCCATGGATAAATGCTTCTAAATAGGTATTAAATTGTATTAAAGGCAATACTCATGTAGTAATTTTGTTTTTATAAATCAATTGCTTCCTATTTACTGCAGGATTCTCCCATAATATCCAGTTTTACTGATCCCTGGCACTGTTCTATATTATTGCTATAATCTGTGACACTTTTCCATATGCTCATCCAAACAAAAAACAATCCAACACCAAAATTTCTCTACTTTTATCCAATTTGATCACTACGTCAGATGTCAAAACAAAATTCCAGATCATATCCATTTCTTCTATGATCCACTTCTTATTTATGAAGTCTCACACCTGCAATATCATTGCCATTGTTAGTATCCATGTTGCTTTTTCAGCTGTCCACTGAAATTATGCCCAAGATGGTACAGCATCAAAACTGACTCCGTGTGTCCACACAAAAACAATGCCTAACATAGCACATGATAGACAAAGACCACAATACTCTAATTTCTCCTACTCTACCAACATGACTTCACCATATAAACATGTTATTACACCCTTCTACAATCCATGACTGTAAAACTACCCCCCACAACACTGTACATTCAAACAATCAAGTAAATATTCCCTATGCAATGTATGCTCCCTCATGCAACTTTGTAGGAATAATACCTCTACAGGCTATGAATACATGTTACTATTATTATTCTTAAAATGATAATTGGCTAAAGGTTAGGCAGGATTATCAGGTTAAAGAGAACACTGGGGAGAAGTGTGAAGTCAGACAAACACTATGAGACACAAATCTGGCAGAATGGGAAGTAAGTTAAAGGATTCCTATGGCAACACATAGATTAATAGAAATGTGTTAAGTTCTGAGAGCTGGATAAAAACAAGACTAAGGCATTGGCCAACCATTTACAATTAACCTTAAGTTCCTGTACAGCTATTTGGAGAGTGGTATTGGAAACAGAAATGTCTACTGACAATTTGTCTGTTTCCCCTCAACAAGAAGAACATCATTGATTTCCCCAATTCATCTGATTATTGTTTATGCACCCCACTAACACAGTGCAACAAATAAACCAACATTTGGAGAGAGACGTAAACTATGCCTATCATTCCTACTGAACATATTCAAAAGAGCAGACCTATTTGTTATATCACCATGATAAACTGTGGGAAAACAATAAAGCTATTGATACTACTTACACCACACAGATGAAATAACCACTGCAGTGTGAGCACTGCCAACCACATGCCCGAGAAGAATGACTTAAGCTAGAAGAAATGGTTTCTTTCCTGTAATGACATAGACAGAACTCCCTCATTTTTCTCATTTTTCTCACCCTATATACTCAAGTCCCTATTTGAATCCCTGTAGACTTTGAACATAGTTGCATAAAATAGGTGGGAGGGATAGGCTTTGTAATCAGGTAACAGTCTTCTTACTGTGCCTCTTCTTCTACATATACTTGAAAATGTTACATAGGATGATCTTCCAAAACTGTCACAGATAAATTCTCCAGGTCATCAGTTGTATGACTTAAAAGATACTCCTATATCTATATCATAATATATTATAGTAATTTAAAGACTTCTGTGGACAGACTTTGCATATCTCCTATGGAAGGCTTCCCCATATCTTTGGAGCAGAAAGAAGTTGGAATAGGGGGTCTGTTTGGGTCATGGGAGGAGTGGAGGGTGAGAGAACTGAGATTGACATGTTAAAGAAGCTAGTTTCTTTTAAATAAAAAAGTTTGTGGAAATGTTTAGATTCATCTGCCTACAACAACTCAAGGTTAATAGACAGGATTGGAAAATTTGGCAAAGGTTTGCAATTGGTGATTGTAATATTTTATGTTATGTCATCATGGTGAGAACTGCCTTTGCCTATCCTAGAGACAACTTCTAGCTAGGTGAACTTCATAGCTGTCATGGAATGAAGTGTAAGCACAGCTAACAAAACTGAAACATTTTTATTCTGTCAGCAAAGTTAAGGGCATGTTGCAGTCTGAATTTAGACCATAGCTTTTCTGCTTATTCCTCCACACATACTTGATATGATTTTCCAACTGCTATCCACGTACAGTAAAATATTTCACCACACATTTAAAAAGCTAAGGAAGGCTGGGCGGTGGTGGCGCACACCTTTAGTCCCACCAATTGGGAGGCAGAGATAGGCAGATCTCTGTGAGTTCAAGTTCAAGACCAGCCTGGTCTACAAGAGCTAGTCCCAGGACAGCTTCCAAAACACAGAGAAACCCTGTCTTGAAAACCAAAAAAAAAAAAAAATAGAAAAAAAGAAAAAGAAAAAGAAAAAAAGAAAAAAGGTAAGGATTCAAGGAAGGAAGGTTGGTTTATTCTGTGGGTTTGGAGCATATCCTGGCCCTTGCTCTGGAGATCAGTCTGGCCTTGAACTCACAGAGATCAAGTCTGCCAGTAAAATAATGATAATTTCTCAAATCTGAAGGTTTGTGAGGTATTTAGAACAGGGATGTAGGAGGCTGAGAGAGTGCTGGCTAATGATGTGGAAGAGTAGAATCATGAACTGTAGATTAGAGAAACCAGACACTACACATCCCTCATAATAATAAAATCAAGAACCTAGGTGGAAAATTACCACAGGAACTAAAAATACAGAACCAGTCTTAAGAGTCCTGGGACTTGACAACATCCCTGCCTAAAACAACTTCCCTCCTAGGCATATTTGACATTGAAAGGAAAAGTAACCATTTGAATAATAGCCAAAGACCATAAAGGCTGACTGGTCTATGTAAACCTCCAGCATTCTTTTACCATATCTCTGAGTGCCTCCTCAAGTTTCAATTTATTTTTTCTGAAATATTAGAAAGTAAGAAAGTGTCTATGATGTTCTACTCTGAGCCACTAAGATGTAGTGGACATGAGCAGTGCAGAGGCGTCTCTACGGTATTCCTCATCACATGTGAGCCGAGCTTCTCTCCAAACAGTCACATTCACTGCACTTTCCCATAATTTGATTTTAGAATTTCTTACAATACCAATATGGTACAGAGTGTTTTCTATGTTGTCCAGCATATATCTGTGCTTCTCCTTAGCACCATGCAATCTTAAGGTGAACACTGCTGGTAACATTGCTGTAGAACTTCTGTTAAATTCATGAAGAGATGATATCATGTTGTAACTTCTAAAATATAAAAAATATGCAAATATGGAATAATCAGATCAAAAGCAAAAAGGAATGAAAAAGTATTCATGGATTTCAAACTAAATTAGGAAGATTATATCTTAGTATTAGGAGACAAGTAATGAAAAGGAGAAAAGATGTAATCATGTTGTAACTTCAAAAACATAAAAATATGCAATTATGGAAAAATTATATCAAAAGCAAAGAGCAGCAATAAATTAAAGAACAATCAATGATCATATGCCTTACAAATTAGTCTCTGAAACACAATTAAATACAATTGCTTCTAAGTTCTGCAGCCATAATAGTCACAGGAAATAATAGATAACTATCCTCTAGGTTCACTCTAGTGGATGCGGCTACCTTGGTGTGTTTCCACACTCCCTCTTCCCCTGTTACATGATGTTGAAGAGACACAATTTTCCTGAGGATTCAAACAGAAAAGGAAGGATAAAAGAGGGCCTGATATCAAATAATTACCTGAAAATACACTTTAAAATTAAGAAGAATATTGGATGTCAGCTTGACATTGATGATAACTTTACACATGTAAGTGTCTATAGCTAAGCTCAAAACTCTGATATCATTCATTCATTTGAAGTAAAGAAACAAATGCTGAACAAAATAAAACTCATCTAAAATGTTTAAGAATAGGAGAAATTGTATCTAACAATGGAAGCACAAACACCAAATTCAGTATCAGACAGCCAAAACTGAAAAAAATTCTTGTAGGTCTCTGGAAATCTCCCTAGTGCCAGATCTCTCCTCGGGCCTATTATGGCTCCCACCTAATATGGTATCTCTCATCCTGCTCTCCTCTATTATTCTCCCAACTCAATATTTCTGCTCCTCTATTTCCTCCTCTCCTCTCCTCTCCTCTTCTCCTCTTATTCTGGCAGCTCCCTGTCTCCTACCCCCATGCTCCCAATTATCTCAGGAGTTCCTGCCCCTTCCCATTCCTGTGGTCCATGCATTTTTCCCTTAGAGCCCTTCATGTCTGCCTGGGGACTGGAGGGTGGATGGGTGGGGAATAAGTCGGGGATGGGGGAGGAGTGGTACGGGGAGGGAGGAAGAAGGGATTGATATGAGAAACAAGCTTGTTCCTAATTTGAACTAAAAAAAGAAAAAAAAACTGAAAATATTAAAATAAGGAAAATTATACAAACTTACAAAAGGATATAAATGTATGTGTTTTTGTGTTTGTGTATACCCATCCACATATATTGAAGTAGCAACAATAAAAAAGAGGCCATAAATATGAAAGATAACAAGAAGGGATGAATAGGAGGTTTATCAACATACTTCTGAAAATTTGAGTTACATGGAAACCAGCTGAAGTTTCATGTGGACTTTAGACAAGTAAGTGTCTGTAGGAATGCTCAAAAGACTAAAAAAAAAAAATCTTTCATATGGGGTAAAGCAAAGAATACTGGAAAATATAACTTATTTAAGAGATTTGAAAAAAATGAACAAGTTAACCACACAAAAAATGGGAAATGGTCAGCCCTGAAAACATATAAAATTACATTACACAAACATGCAGGGCGTACTTCTTTATTTAGAAATATATATGCACATAATATTATCATATGTGTAACATCACCTTTTATTGTAAATAGGACATGAAACTAAAGGAGAGTAAGGAGGCATGATTAGGAGTATTTCTAGGAAGAAAAATAGGAATTAACTATGTAAACATATTGTAACCTCAACACTTAATAATTTTTAAAATACAAAAATATAAATTGCTCCTTGACATGCTTTCCTGTTATTCATCTTTTCCTAGAGAGTCGGGAACAAATGTCTATTCAATCAGAACAGAGCATCCATAAAATTAATAGAAAATTGCTCTAAATGTCTGCTTGGTGGACCAGGAAGATGGTGGGTTTACAGATGGAACTGAGGCACACACATTACCAAAAAACTCAAAGAAGCAAATGGAAAGACTTTTGACAGCTGCACAGGTATATGTTCCTAGCTCATATGCCAGGAGCACCACTGAACAGACACCATTCCCGTAATAATTATTTTTGATGAACATATATGAGGCACTTTTAATAAACCTTTTCAAACTTGGAAGCTAATGACCTTCTTTAATAGTGTAAGTGAAATCAGGGCCCTAGTCCAGGAAATGTCCCTTCTAAAGGAAATTCATGAAGTCTCAGAAAATAGATTTCCAACAGAAAATGCCCTAAGCTGGGTTATGTAAGGAATGACCATGGGGACAGAATGACCACAAACAACACTAGTATATCCAATTATTATTAACTCAAATCATATTGAGAATTAGGCAAGGAAACAAGAAGTGTGTGTCAGTCTTGGTGTAATTTGATATCTGAATAGGGAAATCCATTAAACTTGTAGTATGGACAAACTACAGGTAGTATTGTGTAATGTTAATTCATCATTTACAAATACATAATTCAATCAACTCTTTATTTTTGAATTACAATACATAAAGGCCATTAATAAAATTTAGAATTATAAATTAAATTTTGATTTTTTATTTATGTTTTGTAGGGTCAAGACAGGGTTTCTCTGTTGGTGCTCTATTGTTCTGAAACTCACTATGTATACCAGGCTAGCCTCAAACTCATAACTTTGACTACATCTGCCTCCCAAGTCCAGGGATGAAAGGCATGAGCCATGACTGTTTTGTCAAAATGAATTCTTAACACTTCAATTCTTATATAATTGTGGAAGTATATATAGTACCATCATTAAATTATGATAAAATCCAGTAAATTATATATTCAGATCCAACTCCAAGAAATGTCTTCCCACCACTTCCCTACACTGCCATGCTTACTACTAATCTCATGCTTTGGTGAAGCAGCATTTATTTAGAAATTCCATATTGCCCTGAAGCATTAGCTTTCTATGCTATTAAAGTCACACTACAGGTTGTTTTACATACCAAATCTCAGAAAGGAGCTTATTGGAACATTTTAAGCAAACACTTTTATGAGTACATATGAATAATCCAATTTACACAATTTTCTCACTAAAATATAATCCCTACAGGCACAAAACTCACTGGAACTTGTGGACCTGACTATTTTTAGTATCATTTGATTCATTAGAGACCTTACTTCTTGGCCTTTCGACTGTAGTAGCAGGTGTTACCTTTCCTTCCATCATATATTTCTTCTGTTGAAGGCCCAGGCTGTGCAAATCATCCTCTTCATGGCATATCTTTTCACAGAAGAAAGGGACAAAGATATTAATCTGGAAGCAAAGTTCCCAACATCAAGGATAGACTTGATTTTTTCACCTATATTGCTTTATCAGAAATGATCTCTGTGAAGTTCTAATAAGGCTTGAAAGCCTCCCAGAAGAACTTTACTACAGAATAATGCTTTTTTCAGTATTTATCCATAGGAGCTCTGCTTCAACAGAAATCATAACAACACAAGATAGACCTCTTGCTTGCTTATGCATTCTTGAATACCCTCGAAAATACAATATCACTTTATGGGCACTCTCTATATGCTGGTCTATATCACTTAAAATGCAAGATAAATATTCTCCTAAAACTTCAGAGTTTATCCAAATATGAAAACAATACTTTCAATCTTTTAATCTGGTTGAACATAATGCTCAGCAAAGCCGTGAAAGGTCAACAGCAGTCTCAATACTTTTGCTGTGAACACAACACAATCAACTGGGATCATACATGACTATCTTCCTACTTAGTTCCCTCAGAACTAAGTCTACTGTTCTGTAGCTTCTGAAGTCCCAAGGAAATCCACTGTTGATTGACAGGCAGAGCTAATGGCTACATGAGCCAGGCAAATCAGAGAAAGATGTGCATTGTATACATCAGTTTATGCATTCGGTATCTCTAGAATGAATAATAATATTTCTCATTTTATGCACTTTCAAAGCCAAAAGAATGATCTTGTTTGCCCCCTTGTGGCACTGATACACAAGCCAGCCTATGAAAGAGTCTAATTTGGTTTTTGAAACTACTTCATATCACCATGATGTACTATGTTGAATTATTTTTATTACAAAGTTTCACATATCTGATCTTAAATACTGCCTATGGATAAATGCTTCCAAATAGGTATTTAATTTTATTAAATGGAGTACTTATATGGTAACTATTTGTATTTATAAATCACTTGCTTCCTACTTACTGCATGATTCTCTCCATGGGATCCAGTTTTTCTGATCCCTGGGAGTCTTCTATATTATTCCTATCATTTGTGACACTTTTCCATATGCTGAAATAACAAAAAATATCCATTTCTTCTACAGTTCACAACTCTTTTATGAAGTCTCATACCTGCAAAATTATTGCCAGCGTTAGCATGCATATTTCTTTTTTCAATTGTCCAATGAATTTATGTCCCAGGTGGGTATGCATCAGAACTGACTCCATGTGTCCCAAAAAACAATGCCTACCATGGTGCATGATGGTGAAAAAGACCACAGTACCATAATTTCCCCTATGCATACACTCTGCCCATATGGCTTCACCAAAGAGACATGTTATTACACCCTTGTGCATTCCATGACTGGAAAACTACTTGCCAATTTACTGTACATTCAAACAATCATGTAAATATTACCTATGAAATGTGTGCTTCCTCATGCAACTGTGTGAATAATCCCGCTACACACTATGAAGAAATATTACTATTGTTGTTATTAAAATGGAAACTGCCCAAAGGGTAGGCAGAATTTACATGGCAACGAGAACACAGGGGAGAAGTTTGGCGTACAACATAATACACAAATCTAGCAGAAATGAAAGAATGTAATGAGGTAAAGCAACCTCAGTGTAGCACATACAGAAATGAAAATGAATTAGGTTCTGAGAGCTAGATACAGAAAAGAATAAACCATTGTCCAACCAAACACAAGACTAAGCCATTTGCGACCATTTACAATTAACCTTAAGTTCCTGTACAGCTATTTGGGGAGTGGTTTGGGGAACATAAATGAGTGCCAACAATTTTGTTATTCTCCACATCAAGAAGAACATCATTGATTTCCCAAATTCACCTGCATTATTTGTTCAAGAACCCCACTAACACAAGTGCAACAAATAAACCAACATTTGGAGAGATGTAGACTATGCCTATCACTCCTACTCAATATGTTCAAAAGAGCAGACCTATTTATTATACCACTAAGATAAGCTCTGGAAAAACAATGAGGCTATTGATGCTACTTACACCGCATAGATGAAATAATCCCCGCAGTCTGATCAATCCCAACCAAATGCTGCAGCAGAATGACTTTCCCTACCAGAAATGATTTCTTTCCTGTAATGACATAAACAGAGCCATATTTCCTTAACTTTTCTCAGCCAACACAATCAAGTCCCAATCTGAGTCCCTGTTGACTTTGAGCATATTTGAATAAAATAGTAGGGAGGGATAGGCTATATAATCAGCTAACAATCTTCTTACTTGTGCTGCTCTTCTACATATACTGAAAAACTCTAAATAATCCTACAGCTGTCACAGCTAAATTCTCCAGGTCAACCATTGTATGAATTAAAAGATACTCCTATGTAACATAGTAATTTAAAGCCATCTGTGGACAGACTTTGAAGATTCCCCCATAGAAGGCCTCCTCTCCCCTGGGGAGCAGAAATGTTTGGGACAGGGATTCTGTGGGGGCAGAGGAGGAGTGGAGGGAGAGAGAACTGGGATTAACATGTTAAAGAAGCTTGTTTCTAATTTAAATAAATAAGTCTGTGGAAATGTTTAAATTTTTCTGCCTACTACAACTCAAGGTTAATAGACAGGGATGGTCAATCTGTCAATGGTTTGCAACAGTTGACTATAATATATATGTTATGGAATCATAATGAGAATTGTGTATGCCTATCCTAGAGACAACTTCTAGCTATGTGAACTTCACACCTGTCTTTGAATGAAGTGTAAGCGCAGCTAACAAAACTTAAACTTTTTTATTCGGCAAGCAATGTTAAGGACATGTTGAAGTCTGAATTTAGGCCACAGCTTTTTGCTTATTCCTCCACACATACTTGAGATGATTTTCCAACTGCTATCCACATACACTTCAGTATGTCACTGCACATTGAAAATGCTAAGGTTACAAAGTTTTAAGAATAATACTTGCATAAAATATAGGTGGCATTTCCTTAAAAAGAGGAATAAATCACTCAGGGGGTGAATTATGTAAATGAAAAACAAGTGACCCTTGTCTTAAAAGATAATGAAAAGATCTATGTTATTATATACACAGCAACGCCGGCCAGTACAATAATATTAATTTCTCAAATCTGAAGACGTGACGTGTTTAGAACAGGGAAGTAGGAGACTGAGAGATTGGTGGCTAATGTGGAAGAACTGTAGTCATGAACTGTAGAATAGTGAAACTAGACACTACACATCTCCCCTAATAATAAATCAACAACCTAGATGGACAATTACAACAGGTACTAAAAATTCAGAACCGGTCTTAAGAGTCCTAGTGCTTGACAACTTCCCTGGCTAAAACAACTTCCCTCCTAGGCAGTACAGAGGCATCTCCACTATATCCCACATCACATGTGAGCAAGCTTCTCTCCTAGCATTCACATTTACTACACTTTCCCATAAATTTGATTTTAGACTTTCTTAAAATATTAATGTGCTAGAGGGAGTCTTCTGTGTTGTTCTGCTTGTATCCAAGCTTCTCCTCACCACCATGCAATCTTAAGTTGAACACTACTGGTAACATTGCTGCAGAACTTATGTTAAATACAAGGTCTTCCTAAATTTCCTCAAACTTCATCATTTTCAAAGCTTAGCACTTACTGAGTAATTAGAGGCCTGGCTCTTCAACACCACATGTCATTAGTTTTTTATATCTTTTGTCAATAAAATACACTTATGTAATGTTTAAGGGAAAATTATGACAAACCTGTATAAACCTGTCGAACTAGCCATAGACAACTGAGATATGGATATTCAAAAAGAACCTTCACCTGGAAATTTTAAGAAAGTAAAATGTCTATCTGTATGTAACATATGTGTCCTTTTACACACAGATCAGTGCAGCAGTCAGGCTCTGTTAAGCATGTTCATTTACCAGCAGAAAGATACAATTACAATAAATCCCCTGCTGGTCACAATGCAACTGCCTCTTTTATGCCCCCAAACATGTGATGGATAAAGAATAGAAAAACATACTCTACACATGAGACTAAGATAATATTGTGGAAGACAAGGCAGAAAGACTATATGTTCTGAGGAACTGTATGTGTGCTGTGAAAATGTGTCTCTATAAGTAACTATAGAGGTTCATCGAATAAAATTCAAAATAAGAAGACACGAAGATTAATAAAAAATAAAATAACACTTTGCTTCCAGTTGAAATGCTAAGCTTTATGGAGAAACTCACAGGGTTTAACTGTTAACTGAAGATCTACCTGCAATGATATTGGCTAAAATATGATGAAGCAGACATCCCCAGAGTGATCCCTTTGATGGGACAGATGAGACAAAGTTTACAGCCCTGAACACATGCATGAAGGCTCTTGTGAGGAATATACAAATGCTGAAGCATTCGGCAGTCTTGTTTAATTACAGATAAATACATATATGTGACCAAACGTTAACTTAAAATTGGTCATGTGGAAGTTTTTCTGTAATTCTAGACATTTCAGTGTTGAATAATCTTGGATGATCATTACTACAGACACTAAATTGCGGCTACATGATTCCATCAGGTTCCAGCTTTAGGGATGTCAGATGCTGCCCTGTATTATTGTTCTAAACAGTGCCCTATCACACGTTTGGCCACCGTACCTATAAAGAATACTAACAGAAACTTGCATGTAATATATTTTATCTAATCTAACATACCTGCAGTATGTGAATCACTTATTAAATTGTCACCCTCACACAGCTTTTGGCAATAGTACTTACCTTACAACTGAAGTATCTCTCAGAGCTGAAAGTCATCCTTAGAGACATTTCTCTGTAAACACAGAAGGAGCCATGTTTCTTCTGCACTGCTTACTGATACTTCAGTCACTGATTTGGCTTCCCAGGTAGAAATCAACCATACATGTATGAAGCTTACCTGTCACCAAGACAGAAAGACTGTTATTCTGTGATTTCTCGAATCAATTTAATTCCCCAGGTGACCTCAACTTAGTATTATACTGCACCACAATCTCCATTGTCCCTGCCTCTACCCCTTCTACTTTCTTACAAAGACCAACAAAAGGGCTAAAATTCTACTCTGTAATAAAATGATAACTTGTGCATATTAGCTTCAATTTATTGTCTTTCTGAAGGGGGAAATGCTGATCTTGCCACTTAGGTGCTGGCAAAGGTGGTGCTGACCATGCCCAATTTGGTGTGGTGAGACTGTCATAGCAGGGCTTTAAATATCAGAGAGGCATACTTGCAGCCCTCTTTTCCCTCTCCCATCTGGCTGAACAGACAAGCAGGCATCTGGTGTAAACCTGGTTGGTGGCTCAGGTGTAAGAGTACTTTCCTAATAAACCCTTATCAATCTTGTACTGATTCCATTTGATCCACTTTAAGTTGTGTCAGATTATAGGGGGAAATGCTGACTATGCCCACCTTGGGACTGGCACAGGTGACTCTGTCCATACCCACTTGAGGGCGTGGTCAGCATTTTCCCCTACATCTTTCACATATTAAGAACAGAATCCTTGTTCATCCCAAACAAAACTACAGTTTTGGTGTTTTCATCTATAGTTTGCTTCTACTCCCACAGAAGCTTTTCATCATATTGATTTTCCAAGCAGGTGTTATAGGTTTATATAGGCACACAGATAGAGGTCTGTGACTTCCTAATCTCTGTCCTATATACTCAAGCCTGTCACCGAACCCATTTTAACTTTTGATGAGCTTGTATTAAAAAAAGTTTTAGTGAATTAGTAATATCCCTGAGAAGATACTTCTGTGAAAAACAGATATTTAGAGAAATGCTAGTTGGAAAAGTAAAATAATCAGCCCATATTCAGCCACACACAAAAGACTGGATTTGCTCTTATTGAATAGAATCAATTCTTTTCATATTAGCCTGCAAAAGTCCAGTGACCAAAAACTGAAAATATATTACTATTCTAATTTTAAAGGTCTATTGGGACTACAAAAATTGTACTTGAACAGTTATTCTGGAAATCAGTTCTAGAAATACTCAAGAAATAAACCTGAAGAAAAATAGAAAGACAAAGATATGATCCAAATAAATGTATGTGAATGTATTAAATTAAAATTTAAAATGTTTGGGGAATATATATAACTACAAGAATTCAGTCTCTTATTATTGCACTTGGTTTCTTCCAATAATTAACAGATATAACTGAAACTGAGATCTCCATCAATGAGAATTTGTCTTGAATATATCAAAATTTATCTCTGAGGATGAGATTTCAGAGAAAATGATAGTGGTAGGAGAGCAATTAAGAGAGAAAAGTGACAAGTGTCCAACCCAGTTATGATGCTTTAAATGATCAGCATTGCAAGATATTAAAGATGCACCAGTGGTCGAACAAATTGTCAAAAACTATTATCTGCCTAGTGGTATCCAAGGCTTGCCTAACTGGAAAAAAATTAATGCCTCATAAAGTAAAACATGAAAATCCATGTGAGCATTAACAACATAGAACTTAGACGATATTAACACTAATTTCATAAAACGTTATAATCATTAACTACATTACAAATTGTATCCTTATACCCAAAGAATAATGTTAATCCAGAAACACTAGTAGTTTTCAGTGAATTCTGTTTATATATGAGTGTGTTTTTGTGTATGGGGGGGTCTGTGTGTGTGTGTGTGTGTGTGTGTGTGTGTGTGTTTTGAGCATTATCAACAATAGCAATGAATAGGTCATGAATATGAAAGTGGAATGAGGAGTACACTGAAAGTGTTATAGAGATAGATATATGGAAATTATGCAAATACCCTAGCCTTCTATGTTGCACTTAATTGCTTAAAATAAAAATACAAAACAGTGAAGGACTTAGAATGTATTAATTCAGCAGAAGATTAGGATGAGAAGAATTGGGATGAAACAAAACTCATTTTGTAAATGTTTGAATATTAAACTTATTAACTATGGAATCATCGTTAATAAGATTGGCCTCATCTCAGATTTCTTGAGTCAATGGGTACTTTTGCCTTTGCCTCCAAGACATGGGGCACCCTGGTAATATGCAGGTGTATATGGTTTAATTCATCTAACAAATGTGAAAAAGGCATCTCACAGTTTCTTTTTCTATTTTTCTAATTTTTAAACTTGTTACAAAAGAACAACATTTTTGGTGCTACAACCCAGGTAGGCACTTCCTTTGGTCTCTCCCATGGCCACAGGAGTCACAGGGATCCTTCTCTCTGAACCTACAATTCACTCATCTGCCAGTTACTGCAATCTGATCACATTCTATCAGCAATAAGGCAAATGTTATGTAGCCCACAACTATGGAGGTCCTTGGGAGTGGCTATCTATGCAGCCTGTTGACAAATTTCTGCTATTCTTTAATCATTAACTCAGGTAAAATCTATTGCTTCTCAAAACCTCTGATGATTGTGACAACTGGTAATCTTGACAGCTTAAACAAAACAGATTTAAGGAACAGGTATTTTAGGATTTACCTATGTGAAAATAGGAAAGTGTAAGGTGTATGAAGGTCTTGGAATAAAAGTTACAAAGGTATGAGGATGGAAAGGTCTAACAAGGTGGATAAATGCCAAGTTATGGAGTTCAAAGAATGTAAGGTATAAAGGTCTGAGAATGGAAGGTCTAAGAGAGAAAAGCAAGGAATATGAATTAAATTCAATGCCCACTAGGTAGGCAGGAAGCAGTCTTCAGAACTCTATGTCCTTATTCCCTAACCTGCCATGTCTAACACACCACCTTTTTAATAATAAGAAAAGGTGGGAATGAAAGTTTCAGGCATTAAGCTGGCCTGGCCCTGTTACCTGGGAGAATCCATTCAGGAAGTACCCTGGTCAGCTGTGGGTTCCATGGGAACTAAGTCTACATGCTGTTGTAAGGACCCCTATAAAAGACAGACCCCTGTCAACTTACTCTCTATTTTGTTTTTTTGTTTTTTTTGTTTTGTTTTTTTTGCTCTCTGATCTCTGTCTTGCTCACTTCTCTCTTGTTCTTCTGCTGTCTCCCTGTAGTCTTACTCTCTTATCTTGTTCTCTTGCTCTTACCCCCCTTAATAATCTCGATGGTTAATGAAAAAAAAGTTGTTGAATATGAAAATTACAAACAAAGCAAGAATTACAGTACCACAGGGTAGGTATGGTGAGCATGTCTTCAATGAAGCCTTCTCAGAAGTTGGGAAGAACATTTCATCCATGCTTGAGACTGAAATTTTCATGAGCATGCTTGTGAGACCTTCCATCAGAATGATGAAATAAGAAGGCAAATTTAAAGAATAAATAGTTAGAAACAGTAAAACCTATACATTTAAACAAATAATCATTCTGACATGACTATTATAATCTACGTAAGGTACAGAAATTCCCAAATTACTAGACAAGTAATTTTAATATTACTATGAATGCAATATTCACAAGCAAAGAAGAGATTATTTACAGTGGGATTACAGATCTCCATATGTGTTGTTATTTGTCCTGATGAATAAATTATTATATTATTTGGATAGAACCATGTGTAATCTAGTTTCAAAGAAATTGTGCCGAAAAAAAAAGAACAATTCAGGAGCATTCCACTCACACTTCCTGGAATGTATCACTGAACACCCACACTCACACACATACACTTGTATAGTTACAAACTCATATGAGAAAAATAATTCACTCAAAATTATCATTTACTTATAATCACTTAACTCACCTTACAAATTACTAAAAGATATACTAAAGAAATTGTTTCAAATATTCCCATATTTGAAATTTGACTTTTCTCTTATATAACACATATTGTTTGGTTTTCTGTTTATGTATTTAGGAGTGTGTGTATTTCTCAGAGAGAGAGAGAGAGAGAGAGAGAGAGAGAGAGAGAGAGAGAGAGACAGAGAGACCAAAAGAATATGTGTTTGTGAAATAACAAATTATGAAAACAGACCATCAATTTAAAAGGAAATAAAGGAGGGTTAAAGGAGGATTTGGAAGGAAGAAAGGAAATGCTAAAATGAAGCATTCATATTGTAATATTAATTTTTTAAATATACTATACTTAAATGAAATAAAAATAAAACAGCTCACAGATAGACCAAATACAGGTATAAATTTAAATTTATGCAAATACATTTGGCTGAAAATTAATCTCTGTAGCATTAATAAAAAGAATAATTTCTAGGTGTGCAGCTACAGCTTTTATTGAAAAGGAGATGGAGTTCTTTTTGCCCTCTCAGATAGATGGGTGACCTAGGTGTTTCCACAGGCTCCTACCATGTCAATAATGCTGAAGAAAAGAATATTTCCCACAAGCCCGGCAGAAGGAGATTCAAACAGGTAGGCCTGGTATCAGATTTATTAAGTGAAGAAAAATGACGGAAAATTTGAGGTATTTTGTTACAGGCTTGGATTTAATGTAAACTTTAGACAACGCTCTGGAGAAGTATATATTCAGAACTTGGTTTGATACTAATACAAGCTGAGAGCCGGAATCCAACCAGGAGCATGGACTGCAAGACCCTGTGTGAGGGGACTCATTGGAGTTGTCATTTGCCTCTGATTGGCTGTGTACTATCATATAGAGAATAGCTTTGGTTCAAGAGAGAGAGAGAGAGAGAGAGAGAGAGAGAGAGAGAGAGAGAGAGAGAGAGAGAGAGAGAGAAAGACTAAACCTAGTAATGGAAATTCAAACTCTGAAGTAACTATGGAGATTTCTATCAAAGCTGCTTTTTCATCTACCTGTCATCCTCCCTGTTTGTTGCAGCAGAAGCAGAAAAATTGAAAGGAAAACATCTGGTTAAAATGTTATTTAACGTGGGATACCACTGCATTAAAAAACAGAGAAAACCAACCAGTGGAACCTCAAGGCTGAGCATTATCCTAGAAATTGGCTACTGCCCAGAAGCTTTCATTTTGTTCTGGGACATTCTGATTTCTTCTGACCCTTTGCAATCTTCCTGTGTCAGTTTGCCCCCAGTGTTTGACTATTACATGAGCCATGGCCCTGTTAAGAACTTTATGTGTATCTCATTGCCCTAAAAAGAACATGTTTTCATTAAAGAAAGAAATGTAGTTTCACTCCAGTTAACCAATATACCCAGTGAGAATGGAGTGTCCTAAAGTATCTTGATGGTAATTGAATGATATAAGGCTGTTTTAAAAGGAATGACTTAAATCCTATGTATATATTAACCTTTCTCTTTCCATTTTTTCTGTCTCTGTGTCTCTCTCTGTATCTGTCTCTATCTCTGTCTCTGTGTCTGTCTCTCTGTCTCTGTCTCTGTCTCTCTGTGTCTCTGTCTCTGTCTCTGTATCTCTCTCTCTCTCTCTCTCTCTCTCTCTCTCTTTGTGTGTGTGTGTGTGTGTGTGTGTGTGTGTGTGTGTGTGTGTGTGTGTGGTTTGATTGGGATTTGCACAAATATGTTCATGAAGTTGACAGCCAGAACATAAACTTTTCTATTGCTCCTGTGGTACCTTTATTTCTTAAAAATATTTACTCAATATAAAGATATAACTATTGTGTGTTTCCAAAGATCCATTCTCCATAACCTAACCTAAAATCCTCCCTCAAACCTGCTATTACTATCTTATACTAACACTGAAAAATCTCCTCCTTCTGTGTATGTATGTGTGAATGCAAGTGATGTGTGTATTTCTGTGTTTTTCTCTCCCTCCATCCCTCTCTCTCTCTCTCTCTCTCTCTCTCTCTCTCTCTCTCTCTCTCTCTGTCTCTCTGTCTCTCTCTCCATCTATCAATCTATCTGTGTGTGTGTGTGTGTGTGTGTGTGTCTGTGTCTGTGTGTCTGTGTGTGTGTATGTGTGTAATAAAGGATATGGGAACCAGTCCCATGTGGAGGGATGCACTTTTAGCCTAGACACATGGGGGAAGGCCTAGGCCTTGTTGAGGATGATATGACATATTTTGGGAATCTGCCATGGACGGCCTTTCCATTTCTGTGGAGCATAGGGAGTATCAGGGAGAAGGCTGGTGGGGGGTTGTGTGGGAGGGGAGGGAAAGGAATCATAGATTGACAGGTGAAGCAGGCTTATTTGAATTTGAAATAATAAAATAATTTACCTCAATATCCTCTTCTAAAATTCCTCTACCATCCCTAATCACACAATTCTTTGTTAACTTTGTTGACTTCTCTTTGTGTGTGTGTGTGTGTGTGTGTGTTTGTGTCTGCATTATTGGTATGCATATGCTTTTGTATACTTAAGTGTGTGTTCATGTTTGTGTGCCTACATGTGTTTCATATTGGTGACTTATAACTTTTCATTTTATTTTTAAGAATATATCTTAATTACAACAACTTCTTTTCCCTGTTCTCTTTCAAACCTTCTCATATAACACTATACATATATCTTCAACTGTATGACAGATAGTCATTGTCTAGGTGAACAAGTGTTAGTGATATAACTCACAACAAACTCTATTGTCCATATCATGACCCAAATCTATTACAAAAACAAACAAACAGGTAAACATTTTTGTTGTAATCTCTAATATTTGTAAAAATGTATTTCATTTATTTGACTCTCTTCCAAAACCAAGAACATAGAATCATTGTTCTTCCCAAAGAAAACTAGAGATTTCTTATATCCATCTATAGTATTCTTGTACTCCCACCCAAGGTTTTCAGCAGATTTCCTTTGCCCATAGGAGGATATATTTATTTACCTGCATACATAAATAGAGTCAAATACCTTCATAATATGTGGCCTATATATACTTGTCTGTGTGGAAAGCCATTTTCACTTTTCACAGAGTCCAAGAACAATTCACGGAGAATTAGTTGTGTGCACTAAATAATGTTTCTGGGTAACACAAATATTTGGAGAAATCTTAGAAAAAAATAGAATTATTGGCCAAATGTTGGCTTCACTGGCTGGCTGCTTGGCAATTTAATTAATAGAATCCAGAGATTATATAGAACAGTGCATTACTCCCGTGACCAAAACCTATAAAATATATTACTATTGTAAATTTAAAAGTGACAACCAGAATGAAATGAATAATAATTTAATAGATATTTCTACTAAGAAGATTTATGAGGAATCAAGTGGCAATCTGAAGAAAAACAGAAACACTAAGGATTCTAAAGGGGAATCCCAGAGACCACCAAAATAGGATAGAATTACACTGTACTGTATTTGGTTGTTTCTAAGAAGTTATACTTAAGTCCCTACTGCAGAAATCACTGCATTTTGGAACAGAATCAGTGAGAATTTGAACTTGAACTAAATTAAAGCCTGATATAAGAGAACTAATTTTCTGAGACCTGGAAGTTGTTAGGAAAACAGTTAAGGGGGGAATTGATGATGTGTCCATCCCAGTTTCCATGCCTTTGAATGACAAGCATGGCAAGATAGCATTAAAGACAAACTAGTAGTTCTGATACCTTGTCAGTAAATAGTAGTTACCTAATGGTATACAAGGCTTGCTTAACAAAGGAAAGTCATTCCTGCCAATGAAAAACAGCAAAGGTATTTTGGCTAGTGAGCCCATGGAACATAGAACACCTTATCACTCCTTTCTTAAACATTATAAAATCTAACTACACTATAAAAATAATCTTTATACTCACCCAATGATTTGACCCAGGAACATTAGTGATAATCAGCAGATTGTGTTGATGTGGATGTGTGTGTGTGTGTGTGTGTGTGTGTGTGTGTGTGTGTGTGCTTAATGACAATAATGAAGTCATGAATTTGAGAAAGAACTGAGGAGGACACAGGAAGATGTGGAGAGTCAGCGACATCGAAATTGTGTAGTCTTGCTTGAAGTACTCAATTTTTTAAAATAGAAAATTCAAAATAGATAATAAGGGGATTTTGCAAGGATGAGTTCAGCAGAACAATTAGGATGAAAATAACCAAACCTCATAGTACAAATGAATGAAAACATGGTATTTATGAAGAAATATTAATCCAAGAGGAAATGTATTGATATTATTTATAAGTGTAATTGTCACATATAATGTGAATAGTGGGTGAAATGTCCATTCAGGTCCCAAAATATGTCGTTTCTCTGACTTAATGATCAAAATAACTCTAAAACTTGTACCAATGAAATTGTTCTGAAAATGAGAAAAAGGAAAATCACATAATCAGTTTTAAACTTACTGTAATGTGCCCACACAGGAAAAAACACGCTACTATAAATTGAAAAGTATTTGAGATGAATCAAGGCCCAAAAATGTCATTTAATTCTTCTTACAAATTTCCAAAAGATAAACAAGTTATAATGCTTCT